GGGGGGAGAGGGGGGGAGAGTAGATATATAACCTTGAAATCTCCATGCCCTTGGATTATGTGAAACCTAACAGGCATTGGAAAAATCTAACATGACAATTGAGAGCCCTTGGGAATTACCCATGTTCTTCAGAGAAGAAAGTACTGTTACAGTACCTTTCCAGCTAGTAGAAACAGCTGGGGATATCTTGGACATTCAGATAAATCCATTCCTATATTTTACTATAATAAATACATATAATACAATACTGTGATAAATACATTATAGAAGTGGATCAATCGGGTTTCCCAAAAGGTTATGATGCCAATCCAGAAATAGGTGCCAGAGCAAAAAAAGACTCATCAGTGAGCAGGCCACCAGCATTTAAAGGAATACAAGTCCACCAGTTTCTCAAAACATTGCATAAATCTTTGGTTTAAATTCTTTGATGGTTTAAAGTCACTCAAAAATCACTGTGAGGAACTATGGAACTTGTCCCAAGAACATTTTAAGTTCCTTCTCTAAATTATCTTCTCATAAGACAAGTAGTTTTCACTTATGAAATAGAAAAAAAAACCCCACTATTTTTCAGTTACTCAGAAGGATGTCTAAATCAAGATTGGACAAAGATAATTAATCCACCATTTTTCAAAAATCCTAAATAACAGAATTGTCTGATTCAGGAAGTCTATGGGTGAATCATGGGATTTAGCACTTTATATACTATTCAACTGGGTGGGGGAAATTTACGCAGGAAACTTCTAAGCTACAGTAGTTCGTAAAAAATTACTTCTGAAAGGCAATCTACTCTGTAGATTTTACCTTTCAACTATACAGGAGCCCAAACATAAAACTCTCCAGGAAGTCAAAAAAGGAAATTTGGCAAAAACTGGGCCATTCATAACGGAGACCATACACTAGCCCAGAAGGCATGGATTAGAACAGAAAGACTCTGCGAACTGCCCAGCTACAAACGCTGGCATGTAAGCTTTCCCATGCGAATCACTACTACTGATTTGCTTGCTGGATTTATACTCCTCCGTCCCGCCAACGAACGGCGATCAAGCCACAATCTTCCAACTTGCAGTATCCTCGGGGGACTCTTCTCGCGAATTGTGCGGCCAATATACCGGAGAGAGGGCAAGGAGGCGCATTATGGTCCTAAGGGCCCTCCTCTACCTTTTCCTCTCCTACTTGAAGAAGTACTGTAGTTGCCGCGCTCTTTTACCTAAGGGGAGTCCCTGCAATAGGGACAATGCCAGAGCAAGCCAAGGGGTACGGAACCTCCAGCATGCAGAGGAGAGGTCGCGTCTTCTCCGCAATCCTCGGCGCCGCATCCCCGCATGCCAACAAATGCTGCGGGGCTGGGTACGTGCCCGCCCTCCCCCTCTTCTTTTTCTCACGCTGGCGCCAACAAATTCGTTAGTCGCCGGCCTCGAACGCTCTCGTCACAACGGCGGACGGAAGGAAAGGGGGAGGGGCGGGGGAACTAGAATGAAGCGACGGCGCAGAACTGCTCCGTGCGGCTGAATTGGCGGGCGGCCTCGCGTAGCGTCGAGCGTTCGGCTGCGACTCCTGCACAACTGCAAAACATTCGCTTTCCCCTCGCGCCGGCGGCGTTAAGCGCTTGTTCACGTACTGGCCTATGACTTCTCCGTGTATTTTAATTATCACCGCTTTGAGTATTACAAGGCTTAAGTGTTTGGTGCACACTCTAGAACGTTCTGTGTCTCTTACCCCGACCTGTTTTTGTAGATTAAGAAGGTCGTGCCTCAGCTAATTATGATTAGCTATAAATGGGTCTCACTTTCAGCAGAGAAAGGACTCGAGCCTACATCTTGATGGGGAAAGTCTCAGTATGTTTAAACGAAGTGGTCTGGAATGGCAAGCCTTTTCTGTACAATCTCACACATCTGCTCAGAAATAAATCCTATTTAGTTCAGTGGAGTTTACTCCTAGCAAAAAGTACGGGGTAATACTTTTTTCAAGTGATCTTGGTCTCACTTGTCCAGTGAAACACATTTTTCCAGCAATGTATTTTTTAACTGAAGACTGATAAAAGTTGGTCGCATCACTGATTGTATTCTGCATTTGCAACTAACAGACAAGCAAAGGACAACATCTTGATAAGTATTCTTCTTTTATAGCTATGGACCCCTGTATACACATGCTGAATCCATTCCATTCCCTTTTCTCAACCCTCCCACTAGTTATTAAGTATTCTTTGATGTTTGAGCATCACTGGGGTCTTAAATGTTGCTATTAAAGCCTGGAACTCTGGGACAATTTAGACCTTTAGTGCAGTTCCATTAGAACCAGTGTTGTATAGTCTCTGCAAGACATTCCAGATAGCTACATTCTATGCCAGTTACAGCTTCCAGATCATCTTCAAAAATAGTCTTATATAAAGCACAGTGCAGTATCTAACAAGATACCCAAACACAGACTATTAGGACCTTCACAGTTTGTGAAAGCCCTTGTGGATAAGCCAGAAAACTATTGGAAGAATGTTCTGTGGAAGGATAAAACAGAACTTTTTGGCTTGAAGTAAAAATGTCATGTCTAGCAAAAGGCAAACAGTGCATTCCAACATAAGAACCTTATCTGTGAAATGTGCTGGTGGCAGTGTTATGGTTCAGGCTTGCTTTGCTGCCTCTGGACCAGGATGGCTTGCCATCATTGATAGAACTATGAATTTTAAATTGTACCAGCAAATTTTACAGGAAAATGTCAGGGTATCTGTCCGTGAACTGAAGTTCAGGAGAAAGTAGGTCATGCAGCAACATAACAATCCACAACACAGAAGTTGTACAACCAAAGAATGGATAAGGCAGAAGAAGGAAGTTAACATTTTGGAATGGTCAAGTCAAAGTCCTGACCTTAATCCCATGAAAATGTTGTGGAAGGACCTGAAGCGGGCAGCTAATGTGAGGAAGCCCACCAACTTCCCTGAGTTGAAGTTGTTCGGTAAGGAGGAATGGGCTAAAATTCCTCCAAGTCAATGTGCAGGACTGATCAACAGTTATCAGAAATGTTTAGCTGCAATTATTGCTACCCAAGGGGGCACACCAGTTACTGAAAGCAAGGGTTCACATACTTTTGGCGCACACAAATATGAAGCTCTGGATAATTGTCCTCAGTAAATAAATGAATAAGCCAAGGAATACAAAAAAAAAAATCAGTATGTGTTTTATTGATTATAGAAAGGGTTTTGATTGTGTCAATCATGTGTAATGTACTTAGGAAAATGGGAATTCCAGAACATCTCATTGGTCTTATGTGAAGAACACAGGTCAGGAAGCTACAGTTTCCATGGATCATGGTGAAAAAGACTGGCTCCAGGTCATCAAAGGTTTGAAACAAAGCTGCATATTCACCCCTTATTTATTCAACCTACATGCTGAATATATATTGAGGGAAGCTGGATTGGAAGAAGATAAGCACGGTTTTAAAACTGGAGGAAGAAATATCAATAACCTGTGTTGTGCTGATGACACTACTCTGATAGCTAAATATCCAAGTGATCTGCAAGCTCTAGGAATGAAACTCAAGGAACCCAGTGAAAAAATGGTGCTAAGATTAAATTTAAGAAAACCAAATTAATGAAACAGGTTAGCAACCAGCCATAAAATTTACAGTAAAGATATTGAAATGGTGGATAGTTTCTGCTTTTTAAGATTGACTATCAATGGTAAAGGTATCAACAGTCAAGAAGCATTCCATAAACTAGCATCGAAGGCCTTGGAAAAGATATTCAGATATTGTGGTGTGTATATACCTACAAAGATCAGAATCATGCAGGAAATGGTTTTCCCTGTGACCTTCTATGTAACCAAAAAACTTTAAAGAAGCAGGACTTTATTGATACTTCTGAACTCTGATGTTGGAGAAGACACCTGAGAATAACATGGATAGCCAAGAAAACAAACAAATGGATCATGGAACAAATCAATCCAGAGTACTCAAATGAGGCACAAATAACCAGGCTCAAATTATCATGTTTTGGAGACCATATGCGAAGACCTGGCTCGATGGAGAAGTGTGTAATGCTGGGAAAGATAGAAGGGAGCAGCAAGATGGATGGATTCAATTGCAAGGGTGATGGGTGCACCACTGGAACACCTGAAGAACCAGGTTGGGGTCATATCCTCCTAGAGAGAATCTAACTATGTGGTTGCTAAGAATTGACACCAGTTTGATGGCACATAATCAACTTTCTGTCCAGTGAATGCCACAGGTTACCAATCATCAAGCCACTTGGACCTCAAGTAAAAGAGATGAATCTAGAAGTACACCAAGGTTATGTAGCTGTTCCTTCAGAAGAATGCAATACCATCCAGGCATATCAAATTCCTGGACTTGCAAATCACTGTGTTCCTGTTCTAACAAGATACTGTCTCAATTTATTGGTCCTCATCCAGTACATTTTAGTGTTCAGACACCACTCTAATGCCTGCACTATTCTATCTGATACTAATTAAAGGGAGAAATAGAATAATGTCTCTTCATGTGGGCCAGATAAATAGCATCTTATCCACATTTTTGGGCCTTAGAAATTAAAACTCATCCCCCAGAATATAGGCAGATGGTGCTCTAAACACCTCCCCCACATAATGTTACAGCTGTGGCATCTACTTCCATATAGGCTTCTGTGAAATTTTGCTGCTCAGAAAAATGCAAAACACATAGCAATATTATATAAAGTGATTATTTACTCTAAATATAGATGTAGAATAGATAAATACTGTATTAATAAAAATCATATGTGTGAAAGTGAATAATTTCTTCACTTATAGAGCAAAAGAGCACCATATACACTTTCATTGTGTGTTCATGTTCCATTGTCACTAAGCAACTGAGAGTCTTTGTACATATGAAGCTTCATTCCTTTGGTGGTTTGCCATTTCCTTTTTATTTCTTTATGCTACAGAAGGAAGCACTACTTTTTAAAAATAGCTTTGGAGTTGTGTCTGTGGTTTCTGATTTTAATGAAAGCTATTAACCTAAATTAAAAATTAACCATGGCTTCTCAAGTCACTGCAAGACATTTTCATCCTCATTCGTGCTTAAATCCAGTTGATTCACTTCACAAGATGCATCTAAACCAGCACAAAGGTCTGTTGAAGAAAATGTATATGCCTTTTGTGCGGGGACCTGAAGACAGACATTTCTTTGCCAGTTTCCAAGAAAAGGACAGTAATGCTTTTCTTAAATCCAATCCTTTCCTTCCTCCTGAAGATAAAAGCTACTTTTTAGCGCCACATCGGGATGATGTGCCAATAATCAACTCTTATTCAGGAACTGTGAGTCCAGGAGCTAAAGCTGACTGGCAAATCTTGGACAACAGAGCCTATGCATCCCTACAAGATGGCAAAGATATGCATTCTTCACAGTGGGCACCTGCATTTCACAGGAGAGTCCAGGCTGCTGATAGAAGACCCTTACTACTGTTGAGAGAAATAAATCAGGACCAACGGTGGAATTCTAGAGCAGTACCTGATATTTCTCTCAGATCAAGACTTGGAGGTAAGTATCATTACCATTACAACTGCCACTGTCAGTGTTAGATTCTGTGCTGGAAGGGATGTACAAACATACATGAATACATATATATTCAAAACAAGCATCTAAAATCTTCAAGTTTTGAAATCTGAATGTTAAATTATGTTTTTCAAGGGACAACCTCACTATATGCAGAATTTCTTACAATTCTCCCACAACATTGTTTCACTTAATGAAAAACAGCAAGCTGAGACTGCAATCAGGAGCTGAAAGAACATGTAGAGGGGGGTCCAATCAACTGTTCTATGTAGGAATCCAAATTAAAGCATACATGTCAGAATGGCTGATCAGTTTTTGCTTGAACTGATCTAACAAAGGGAGCCCACAACTTTTCTTGTAACTAATGTTGCTATCAAAGTGCTTTCACTTATAAAATCTTAAGAAATTTTTTCTTAACATTTAGCTGGAATCTGCCTTCCTGTTACTTAAGCCCATTATTCTATATCCAGGGATGAAAAAGAATAGGTCTTAATCTCTCTTTTTTGTGACATTCTTTCAAATATTATAGAGTTTTATCATATTTCCACTAACTTTTCTCAAAGCTAAACATTCTGGTTCCTTTAATCCTTCTTCACAGAATTTCATTGTATCCACATGCGTCTAACCCCCTGATCACACTCATGCATTTGAGGATATTGTGCATTGCATTTCATTTCATAGAGCATTTTATATTTATTGCTGCTAAACTTCATTCAGACAATTTCTCTAACCTATCAAAAGCAACCTTAAATTTTATTTCTGCCTCCTAGGGCAGGGGTCAGCAAACTATGACCCATGGGCCAAATCCAGCCTGCTGCCTGTTTTTGTACAGCCCACAAGCTAAGAATGGATTGGCAGGCAGCAGATCACCAGGCCCAAACCTCAGCAGAGCTCCCAGAGTGAAGGGCTGAGTTGAGGGGTGGAGGCGGGGCATCCTGGGCAGTTGTGGCCTATCAGCGGCCTCCTTACTAGTAGGCTGGTGCTCTCCAATGGCTGTCATGCTTCTTGGCCTACAGATCTGCTAGCCATGCCCGCAAATGCAGAGGAGGGTCAGGATCTGGCCCTTTACAGACAAAGTTTGTCAACCCCTGTCCTAGAGTATTTGTTATCTGCCCCTTCCCATTTGTATCATCTGCAGATTTGATAAGCATTCCTTCATTCCCTGTCCATGTCACAATAACAGTGTTGAAGAATACAGGGTTCAGATTTTAAACTTTTGGGATCCCACTCAATATCTCCCTCCAGTTTGATGAGGAGTTATTGATAAGTATTCCCTGAATATAATTTTTGAGCCAGCTATGTATCTACTTATCCATTATGCTATCCAGCCCACACTTAACTGCCTTGCTAATAAGAATGTAATGGGGTACTTTGTTAAATGGTTTCCTGAACTAAAAAATATATAAGGTTTACAGCACTTTCACAAAGTGTCCGGGAAGTTAGCCAATGGAAAAATAAGACAAGATTAGTTTGGTAAAACCTGTTCTTTACAAGACTCTGTTGACTTCTGGTAATGACTCCATTGTTTTTCAGGTACATAAGGTTTTATTACATTATGATCTGCTCCAGAATCTTACCAGTTATTGATGCCAGATTAGCTGGTTAACAGTTCCCAGGATCTCCTTTGCTGTCCTTTTTGAAGATAAGGACAATATTTGTTCTCCTCTAATAATTTGCTATGAGACCTGGTTCTTATACTAAGCCAAGTAGCTGTTATCAAAACAATTATCAAACACACCCTGCCCCATCTTCATTCATTCATTCATTCATTCATTCATTCATTCATTCATTCATTCATTCATAAGAAAGCAGGAAAATGAAAAAGGGTGTTTCCATCATAAATTATCTATATATTGATGCCTCATTATTCATTGGAATTCTTGTGGTTTAATCTTAGCTTTCCTTCTAATAAGTATTACTCATCAGAGTTCAGAAAGACTTGGTCTTTCATTTAACAATTTTCTGTCTAGATTGCTAGCAGGAAAGTCTGACATATACCATCCAAGATTTCTCAAATATAATATGTGTCAGCAAATTCTTTCAGAAGCCCATGATGTAATTATTTTGCTCTGTGCATATAAACTAAGTCAAAGTAAATATGTATTTCTTGACTATGTTTCTATCAGTTTCAAACTTCAGTCCCGCCCCTTCATCTCTGCTAACCACAGTTTCCTGGTAAAACCAATACCCTCTTGAAAAAAAAGGGGCCAAAATAAGAGTTGAATAGTTCTGCTTTTTTTTTTCTTTCTGTTAGCATTTTGCCACCTTGACTGAGCAACTAATATACACAATACTTTCTTTTTATTCCTTTTATTTTTAATGTATTTGAACATACCTCCTTTTTTGTTCTTAGTACCTTTTACCAACTTCAGCTCATTCTGAGGTTTAACTTTGCTCATACGATCTCTACAGTTCTAAGCTACAGTACCTTCTTGTACTCTTCCTTGGTGAGGTATCCTTTTTTCCATTTCTCACTTCTTATATATGTTCTTTTGGATGATATGTTGTTATTGCACTAAGTTGTTGGCTTTTTCTGCTGTGTTCCATTTGTTCTTCAATGGAATTGTTTGCAATTGTGATTTTATTATCTCTGTTTTCAAGAACTCCCATCCATCATGACCTCATTTTGCTATGGATTCCATCTTATCATTGTGTTAAGTTTATTAAGTTTCTTTAACTCCTAGATATGTATTCAGCTATAGCAGCTAATGAGTCTAGTAGGCATACGTTTGCTTAGTTTTCATGGTAGCGAGTCAGCAAGTATCTTGATTTTTTTTTTTTTTTTGGTCTTTTTGCAGCCAAAACCGTATCCTCTCTGCTTTTCAGATACCCACCCTCTTATTCAGGAGTGTTTCAGTTTTCCCCCCCCACAAATTCAGAGTCTGTTTCTTCTATGTCTGCCTCAAAGATCTTTTCAAGTTCCACCAGTGCAGAATATCTTCTGTATCTCTTATTTCAGGTTTTCATTCTTGTTCATCAAGATTATTTTTAGTTTCAGGATTCTATTCTTTATGGAGAGTTTCTTCTTCTATCAACTTCTGTTTGTTCGATCTGAGCCAAAATATGGCCACTCACTGCTCCAATCTGTTGACTTTTGTCTTCAAGCATCACTATAAGTTTCCACTTCCTGCAAATATATGCCTTGTTGCTTTCAAGTATGAATACAAATATGCCACAAGAATTGCAGGTCATGATGCAAAGTCACGTCCATTCATCCTCACCTCTACGTCTTAATGCAAAGATCAGCAACCTACAGCTCATGGCCGGATGTAGCTCTCCATCCAAAAACATCCAGCCTGTAGTCCCAAAAGGAAATACCCTATCTACCTGGCCTGCAGTGGTCCTAAAAAAGAATGTAAGTATGTAATTCTATCTCAGGTCTGATGTAGAACCACACTATTATAATAAGTTGTAACAATTTCAATAGTGTTATAAGCCTATATATACTGTAAATATACATATGTGTTTATAACATAGCTTCAGTTACTGAGGTCTCTTCCTCTTCCTTCTATAAGCATTTATTTCCCCAATCACAAGAGGCTCCCCAAGACTCTGCAGAGCATGCCCTAATTTTCCTCTTTAGCTATGCCTCCCTTTCTTTCCCCAAAGAAAGAACCCCATTTCTGTGGGTCACCCTGAAGTATCCTCCCAAGTATTCACTTGAGAGAATGGCCTGCCATCCACTCCCAGACATGGCCACTGGCTCATCTGCAGAAGAAGGCTGCTGACCACTGTCTTAATGCAACACCAATAGAAAGCTTTTACTTGTTCTCATTCCCTTCTGTTTAGCCAAGTGTTGACTTAGGATTTGTTATGGCCTCCCCTTAACCTCCTTCCCCAGACCCCTGACTTTCCCTGTCTGCCACTTTAAGTGAGTTCATTCTTATATTTTTCATATGCTTATTCAGCAGAAAGCTGTCACTCAGTCCCCCACAACTCTCAAAACACATCCCTTGCAATCAGCCGCTCTTTTTACTCCATGTAACTAAGCAACAGTCTTTCAGAATAAGCAACTCTCCAGTTATCCCCCTTTCTTCCTCTTCTTGAATTCTGTTGCCGGTAGCTTGGTACAATATATAAATCCACTACTTAAGTAGACAACTGTAATTATTCAACTTCTGACTTTTCTATCATTAAAATAATAGTTCATAAATGTTATACGTGGCATATTGTGATTGTCACTAATATAAAGTACATTTTTGAGTTAAGCTGGACTCCCAGTGCTATGATACCATTTAGTGCAAAAAGTTCAACATTTTTTTCAGGATGGACAAGTCCAGTAAAAGTTATGCCAAATCCACCTCAAACCAAAGAAAATTTTACACCTCATACATTTGTATTTCATGTGGACCCAGATATTCAGGTAAATTTCTTTACTACTGCTGCTTCAAATCAGTAACATATGCTCTAATCAGAATCAAAAGAATAATAGGGATACTTTTCATCCAAGTGATATTGCTAAAAGTGTCGTTTGTTCAGCCACCAGCCCCATCCCTTCTTCATATATGGCCCTTCTTAGAAGATCACCCACAGGGCTTCAATTTTGTATGCTTAATGTGATGGCCATTTTGTATGTCTCATTCCAGACAGAGCAGTCATTTTGTGTTTGCCTCCCTCATAGGACAGCCATTTTTCATGTAGGTGACCAAGGAAGATGATGTGGCCTTCCACAAATTAATTTCACTAATCAAAATGGGTCCCCATCCAACATAAAGAGTTCTGAGGTGGGACATGGCCACAGAATAGGTAAATACAAGTTCACCTATACCTATGCCTATCATTGTAGCCAAATCCTCATCACAGGTGTGTATATGAAGTTCTTTCTCCATCTGGTAAGAACTTAGCCATAAGCCATGTAATGGTGACACTGCCCTTTCTTACAATTTACAATAGAAGATATGCATGAAGAGTATGAAACTGAATGGAATGCTTGTTAGACAAACATTTCCCCTTCCACAAGATTGGTACAAACTGGAAAGTGGTGCTTTTTAGCACAAGGATTTACACTTGTACATTTTGAATACTTGAGAAAGTCTGTACATAAGCTAGATATCCAGAAAAAGACAGACTTGACCTGTACACACATAAAAATGAATATGTGGTACATATAGTAAGACATCCGGGGAGGAAAGGGTAATATAATTCTGGGGTCAAGGATCATGATTAGGGTCATGATCTCTTCCTTTATACATTCCCAAAAAATAAATGAGGACAGTGACTGAGCTGTGTGAGGCATGATGTGAGAGAAGTCTGACACATGAACAGGAGTGACAATTCACTTTAACAGGAACAATCAATTACTTTAGATGTGGATGTATAATATGCAACTTTTACTGAAATGCAGTTATGCTATAAATATATTTAGCAGTAGTAGATATTTTATTTAAATGCCCTTGGCCTGTAGTTCAGATATATAAGATTGAAACAGAGCTTCCTAGGGAGGGCGCCTTACAAATTGCAGACAGCAAGCACAAATGTTTAAATATGAAAATGAGCCAGTTTGGTTTTTTTTAATGTAGGATTCATCACATTGTTACCTATAATGCAATCCCAACAACCTAGTTTTTGAGAAATTTAACCATATCTTATAGTCATAGATATGACTCCTATTGTATCTCATGGTCATCAGTCTTCCTTGTGCCACCCACTGAGGCACACATAACCAGTTCTCCCCACTTACTCAGGAACAATCTGGAACAGGCATCTTGAAATTGCTGGAGATATAGCCTTGCTCAGTGATTGGGAGTTTATGAAGAGAACACACTCACATCTTTTAGTGAGATATCAACTCTTCTGGGATCTTGGACAGGCGAGTGACCTATGCTAAATGACACACAGCATGCATTCTGTGTTAACCTCCTAGCTTTATTGATTTCAATATATCTAGGCTTTGTTTAAGCACCCATGCAAACACTTTCATACTCAAATACCAAACCTCTCTAGAGTAACGGATCAAGAAACTTAAGGGGAATGGTGAAGACTGAGTGCAATCCAGATGATTGTGTGTACATGGAGTGTGTTCCAACCAGCTCCCTGTCCAACTCTTCTTTTTATAGCAGTTATTTTGTTCGTTACTTCTGCTGTGCTCTCATTAGTTGCTATCTTTGCTGGCTGGGCAGATTTCACTGCTTGATTTTCAGGTTTCACTGCTTGATTTTCACTGCAGTTTTCACCAAGCTTCTGATATGGTCTAATTTTAAACTGGGTCTCTCATTGGTCTTTGCACCTCCAAGGACATATTCCTTAGGTTGTTTTGTTGCTTTGTTTGCTATTTTTCTCATGCCACTGCTTACATAGCATGCTACTAAATTCAAATTGAGTTCATGCACATTTCACAACTAATGTATGTCAGTGTGATGAGTTTATGAATGACTATTAAGTCCCACCTTCCTGCCACAGCACAGCTGCTTTGTAGTACTTCTGCCATCACTTATCTTGGGGAGAGGAAGATACCCTGATTTGGTTTCTTCTCCCTTAACACTGGTTGTAAGAGAGGTAGGGCATCTCACAGCCTGAGCACTTGCCAGTAAGCTGGGTATAGGTATCATCATCATCTCTGTAGCCACTTCCTGGTTCTTGTAGCTTTTACATATGTAGCTATACAAAAACAGGCACGCACACATCCCTTTTTTGAAGTTGCAAAAAAAAAAAAAAGTTTAAAAATCAATTTTATTAAAAATAAGAAAAAGGAAAATGTAAAATTCGGTTTAACTTTAGAGAGATAAATGT